GTGGAAAGGGAAGGGGAAGGTCCTGGTCTTCCAGGCCCGAGCCACTTCAAATAGAAGATATCAAAAAAGGCAAAGAAGAGGAAGAGAAGGGAAGGGAAGGGAAAGGAGAAAGGGTGGGGAAAGGGGGAAGGAGGAAGGCAGGGGGAAAGAAGCAGAAGGGAAGGGGGAATCTGAGAAGGGGAGGGCGAAGGAGGTAAAGGAAAGGAAGGTAAAGGTAAAGAGAAGGAAGGAAAGGTGGAAAGGGAAGGGGAAGGCCCTGGTCTTCCAGGCCCGAGCCACTTCAAATAGAAGATACAAAAAAAGACAAAGAAGAGGAAAAGAAGGGAAGGGAACGGAGAAAGGGTGGGGAAAGGGGGAAGGAGGAAGGCAGGGGGAGAAGCAGAAGGGAAGGGAGAATCTGAGAAGGCGGAAGGGGGAAGGAGGTAAAGGAAAGGAAGGTAAAGGTAAAGAGAAGGAAGGAAAGGTGGAAAGGGAAGGGAAGGCACTGGTCTTCCAGGCCGAAAGGAGAAAGGAGACAGGAACTGGCTACTTTTTACACTTTCTTTTCTACACTTTAGCAAGTGGCCTGGGTTCACCTTTTCAAGCTCAAAAAAGGCTCTTCCAGGCCACTTGTTTTTTTCTACACTTTTTCTCCTCAATTTTCTAAAAATTGTATTCAATTTTTACAATTTTTTCTTCAAACAAGTCTCTGTCGGGTCGGGATGCGACCCGGTGACGTCTCTGAGCTCAAAAAAATGCGAAATGTTAAACTAATTTAGTTTACCTTTTTGGAGGGCTGCGCTCTCTGTGTCTATTCCCCTTAACGGGTCCATCGCTCGGCCCGGCGCTCGGAGCTGGTTCACCGGGAGCTTCCTTGCAGAACTTTCTCTTCTCCAGGGAGGGAGGGAGGGAGGGAGGGAGGGAGAGAGCGAGAAAGAGTGAGAGCGCAAGGGAAAGAGAGCGGGCGGCTCATGCGTATTTTGTGCCAAAAATACTATTTCTTCTATTTGAAGACCTGTTTGTGAGCACGTTTATCAACCTGTTATCTTGATGCTTTTCTTCTATTTGTCCTGCCACGGGAGGAAGGCGCAGCCTTCTAATTGAAAATATTGTTTGTTTCTTCTCCAATAGTTTCCCGTAATATAATATCTTCTATTTGTTTTGCCCGGGCTTGTGGGCCATCTTCTATTTGAACCGGTCGGGTGTTCAAAACCGGGCACGCTTTCAAATAGAAGATTTTCACAACTAATTTCTTCTATCTTAGGCGTCTGGATTATAGGACTGGTTAGTTGTTCAATATCCAAAGTGCTTCCTATGTCAATTGCTCCCTCAACTCCTAACTCCTGTAACTCCCAACTCATCTGGCCTTCATCCATGATCATCGCCTTTGATCATGTGTGATGATGTTTTGGAGTTTTCCTAGAGCGGCGCCTGACAACATAGGACTTGAACACCTAAATACCAGGACCCGACACCGTGGGAGGGGGGTGTCTATTTCCCCTTAACTGTGATTTTGGGGTGTCCATGAACCACCCCGAATGGGGGTCCTGGTATGTAGGTTTGAAGCTTTTTCCTGATGACTTAGGTTTCACGTTTTTTCGTCAAGTCCTGGGTCGCTGGTGGGTAGTATATGCAGCAAAGAAGCCCAAACTTTGCGGTGGGTCGCCTGTTCTATCCTTCCAAAGCAACCTTTGACTCCAGGCCAAATTGGCGGAGCTGAAGAGTTTCCTTGCGTGTTGCGGATCAATCCCAGTACCTCCCCCAGTCTCAGACCGATCACCAGGAGTCAGCCGAACGAGCCTTGTCGCCTTGTCGCCTTCGGGGCTCCGGACGGCGCAGGAAGCGCTCTTGGCCTCCATGACCTCGGATGGGGTCGTTGGGCGAAGTGCCGCGGTCCGGACTGAACAGCAAGCTAGGCCCTCTTTGGTATGCCTGGACCCTGACGGATCTCTATGTTGCACCAACCAACCACGTCAAGCACCCAATATCATGGTCCAACTTCCTGTCAAAAGCAAAAAGTCATGTGTGAGCTCTATGGCATCAGGAACAAAGCTTGAGAATGCATGGGACCGGCATATGTACCAATAAGTCGTGGGAATTTGATTGGTCAATGAAGGCATTTACAAAAATCTACACATGGAGTGTCTAGGAAGTGTCACTTGGTCATGGAAAACTACTTCATCGACCTCAATGGTCTGAAGCAGGTCAGAAACCTCAGGCTATATAATATAAAGAATCCCAATCAATCACAAGCCCTTATTCCACCCTCCACCCTCCTGCAGCTTCAGCAGGTGCTTCCACCGTTCTTTCTGTGGTTCCCCGGACGGTCATAGATGTCCACGCAGACCGCTAGCTTGCCCGAAGCGTCCCTGCGGAAGGGGGAAGACAATGGGACCTGACCTTACAAAAGCTGGTGCTCACGTGAGAAGAACATCACCACTCATTCACCAGTGCCATGGAACTAGATGAGGCTGAGCCGGGTGACACAAGGCAACATGTCACTGAACAATTTGCAGATCCATACTCCTGGGATATACCCCAAACACTCGATGTATGTGAACCGTGGGGTGGTGGAAAAGGGGTGAATGTATACGATGGATGGAACGATCGATTTTCCAACCGATTGGCCTCAATACCCTCCAAACACTCCTCCAAACGCCTCAAGAATCGTTTGTCTGGACCTGGAATGTTTTTCAGGTCTGGCCATAGAAGAACCGGCGCAAGTGTGACAGCGGAAGAAAGAATTGACTGTGGATCATCGCGGATCATGTTGCAGGGTCCTCAAGCCCTGACCACACAAAGTCGGCTCATTCCAATTTTCTCTTGTGCCGGGTGCACAGTAAGCAAGCCAGTCATGAGTGGGCACTTTCGGCGCGCAGCGTGAGTGATACAATGTGTTTGGCATCTAGACTGTGCTTTTTGCTATGCGAAAGCCGTTTAAGACCCCTTTGGGGCATTTGCTTGAGGAACTTGGAAAAACACAAAGTATTCTTCAGGTACAGGGATTCAACCCAGAAGGGGAAAATGACAATCACCAGACAAATCCTAACTCGGGATGTACCATGATGCATCAACTTGCCCAACATGTGGATCATTCTGAGGAAATGATGGCCTCAATTGAGTCCAAGGTTGCACTGGATACATTGCATTCCAAAGTTGACCTGCGCTAATCTGCGCCCGAAATTCTTGAAAATAGCCCATGTCTGACTCCGGAACCGTGAAAGGTTCACGGTCAACCCAACGAAACCAACTCCGTTCTTTTCTAGTGTGGCGTCTCCAACCTAAAGGAGGTGACCTGCAGGTGATCCATGCACTTCCTGGTTCGGTTTTTCCCGCCAAGAATGAACAGAATAAACTACCTGGGAGGTCAAGCTACAGGTGAAAGGGCTCCGGGTGCCCTGACCCACAGCAACATGACTCCCTAGCTGGGACATGGTCAGGACCAAGCGCATACTAGTTTGCCCGCATCCATGTTTCAAGGTTCTTTGGGACACCAGGAAGTCTTCAATAGACTTCAAGTGTTTCCACTACCTGAGATCTTGGCTCAAAGGCCAAGCAAAAGCCTCCGCGCTGCAAAAGCGCCATACTGCCTGAAACGGTCCTAATGAAAGGCCAAGGTCTGAGAATCCGGAACATGTAGAAGACTCGCAGGCAGCCAGGAACCTGAAAAGCAATAGTTCCAGCACGTTCCGGCCTGCCAAAGCCGGCTTTTCGATCCATGTTGTTCATGTACTAATAAGTAAGTCACTGAATCATTCAGTAGAATCATGTAGAATCTCTTGTGAAGACACCTTCCGTGATCCCAAACCTGGCGAGGGACGCATCTCTCCACAGTTCTGCGGAGTGACGCAGAGCTGCCAGGCGGCCGAGTGCCGCGAAAGAAGGACTCCGTGACCGATCTACTTACCTATCCTTGATCGAGCTGCTGAGCCACTGAGACCTTCACACTGATTCATCAATTTGGTGAGACATACCCAAGACGAGAAAGAAATTGCACCGCAGCATTGGCAGTGTCACCATGCCCACACGATCTGCCACGCGCTTTTCTGGCCAAGAGCTGTGCTGCTGGAATGGCACTCTGATTGGCCTGTGAGTTGCAAGCGCCCAATACGTACCTAGAGCCTGAGTGACCTCCCCCAACCCCTCCTGTCAAAACAAAGGTCAAAATTGGCTCTAATGTAGACTCTTGATCAATAAACCATGATATTTGGATCAAAAAAAGTCCTCTTCGTGTGGGGGTATTACTAATCAAGAGTCTACATTATCTATAGGTATGCCTACAACCTGGGAACATGGGTCCAAACACACACACACAACCTGGGCTTCTGTTCGGGTCATGTGTCCCATGTTCCAGGGTACTTGCATCTCCCTACACCTCCAACATGATCCAACCATCTCCTCAGGTTCAGGTGGTTCGACCCCCCTGGCAGCCCCGAACCACCGACTGACAGGGCTGGAGACTGGACTGACAGGTCCATGTCCTGGACGAACGGTCCGCGTCGCCTCCCAACAAACAAAAAGTGCCTGGTCCTGAAGCCTTCCTTTTTGGGGATGGTTCACATGTACGGAATGCTTCTTCTAATACCTGATGCTACCGATGCTTGGATTCGATATAAGAACCCCAGCAGAAACGGTTTTTCACCCAGTTTCGTTCATCTCTTAAGGGAAGCCCTAGCTAGTAACTGTACACGTGTGTTTTGCGAAGCGTTGGTCCAACGGGCAACGTGTGAAGTGGGGAAAACCGGCCGAAAAGGCGAACACTTGGGCACGGCCAAGCTCTTAACAAAGGGCTGAATGAAACCCGACAGGAACACGATGAATGGACGTTGCTTAGGACTTATGACCCTTCCAGAGTTCCTAACATAAGTTAGGCACAAAACATCAACCTATAGGACCTATCATCCTGATTTGTGGGTTGCCCATGTTGCTGCATTACTTTGGGTGAGGTGCCGCTTCTCATGTCGCACATCCCGGCACATCCCTGCGCGAGGGCGACCAGTGGGCCGACGATCAGCCGTGCTTCTTCGCGTGGATGTCTGGCAGTGACACCTCAAAGAGGCGAACCGGACGCTGACACCTTCGGCTTCTCCTTGCTGACAGGAATCTTTCTGGAAGGTTTCGTGGCCCTATGGGCGTACTATGTACCATTTTGGGGTATGGACACCACAAATGCCAAAAAGAAGGGCTATATTAGGCTATATATAGGGTGACCAGTAGACACACGACGTAGGGGTTGGTGCAGCCGCGGGCGCCCCCAGGAGGAGTCTGACCTGCCACTCGGAGACCTGGCACCCCGTCTGCATCGATTGAAACAAAACGGAGGTCGTTGGAGGATTGCGGTCACTTGCCACGGAAGTCTCAACAACACCCCCAACACTCCAACAGCTACGGCATATTTACATACAAACAGGGGTGGTTGAATTCCGGGGTCGATGTAGGTAAATATGCCATATCCCATTAGTCGTGTCTGGGACCATTGTCTTAGTCGTGTCTGGGACCATTGTCCCTTGCAAACACTCCTGTTCTTGGGGGTTGGAAGTCGAGTCGTCTGCTCCGTATGGTTCCGGGGTACGAGGTTTTCCGACCTCATGCGGTGTTCCAGGGTGAAACACCGGAGGTGGCCTCATAGCTTCTGTTCCAGAATTGCTTCAAGGGAAGACCTACAGGAAAGCCATAGTTTGGGGGTGCAAACATGAGTTTCCATGAGTTTCCTGCAGATGATCCCGAGAAAAAAGACACAATTGATCCTGAGACTTGTCCAAACCAAGCTCCACTGCCCGCTCCACTGCCCGGTCACACCGGTCACACCGTATAGCACCGACTCATGATCACCCATTGCACCGGCACATGTGGGTTGCGTCTATCCCATGGGCCCAGTGGATGATGATCGTTAGTGAAGGCCTTGCTCTAACATAGTCATATGTTGGGTCTATCCTAATACCTGGGCCCAGCGGATGATGATGGTTCAGTTGCAGGCCTGAATTGCTTGTTTACTCACTGTTGCAGGTCAGAACGGACAAACCCAAGTGACATATATGTTATTCAATTCTTTACTGTGACAGGTGTTAGGAACAAACATCTAAGGAATGTGTGTGTATCCAATTCAGGTACGGTGAGGACGGAGACTCTTTATGTAGGCGCCAGGGTCAGGCCCAGTCATACCGTACCTGAGGTACGGTGATACGGTGGCAGTGGATCCATAGGTTATTGACATGGGAAGACCCTTGACCAGCGAATCGAGTGCACGGAGTTGGGTCGGTGTGTCCATCACCTCGAGCTCTTTTGGGCGATTAGACAGCCCGTCTGCGCCAACAGAGGTGGAACGTGACCGTAAATAGCACCCTACAAGGGGTACCTATAGGATAGTCTAGTTAGGGTTCTCTCTGCTGGAATCCTGGAACAAAGCTGTTCATCTAAGAAAATTCCATACAGCCATGAAAAGAGTAACAATGGATAAACACCCCAGACCAGCAAAAAGATCTGTTCATCCATGCATTCAACATGGGAAGAGACCCACATGGAACCTGAAAACCACGTCGGGCTGTATAGAGAAAATCCTCTTCCAAAGGTCAATTTTTCTGCTTCCAGCTGAATCCATTTCATGGCGAGCCACTCCATCCGCCTTTGGACGCGATTCATCCTCCTGCTCCCGAGTGCCTCAAAAAGCGCGCTCGCGGAGCTTCTGAGACGAGGTCATGTTGACGCTTGATGCTCCCCAAACAAACACGGAGTGTAACTAAACCTCTTTTTTGTATTTGGGCAGTTTTATGAAACAACTGTCAACAATGATGTAATCAAAGATGCTGAGTTTCTGTATAACAAGGTCGTCCATTCCCCTTGATTGACAATTTTATGCCCCAAAGGGGTTCTAGCTACAACATCTTATGACCGTTATATAAGATATATAAGTAGTTAGTTTGGCTTCCCTGGGGTAAAGTGCAAACAATATGCAAAAAACACATCAATCTTCCTGCAGCAAGACACACCCTGTCCTACTAATGACATGGTTGGGAGTTTCCATGTAATTAGGTGAGCCCATGATCGATTGCACAATCCACCCTGCAGCTAGCTGGTGCCAAAACAGCAGAGTCCTGCCTAAACCTGTCTCAAGCTCATCCGCAAAGTTCTGGAACAAGACTTGCAGGTTGGAGAGCTGACGCCGTTTCCGGTCAATCTTCTGACCGAAGAACTTATCCTCGGCTGGCAAACGGGCCCCAGCGCCCCACTTAAAATTTGGCTCAAATGTTCAAGGCAGATTTTAGTTAAACCAATCCAAAAAGGAGCAGTCGCAGCCACACCAGCGTCCAGTATCGTCCAGTGTCCTAGCATGGAGGCCTATTCCTATGTTAGTTATGTTGCGCATCTTCCAGCCATGCGCACATTGTTTACAGCGATCTGTAGACTCAGTATGCTGTTCTGGGGTAGTTGGCACTCCTTAGCATGATTCTGCAATATGGAGGACTGGATCGTGCACCTTCCTCCACACGTGATACAGCCGACCCCTTCCCAGCCGCAGCGCGATACAGACCGTGCGACCAGACCGGATCGATTCGGTAGGACCCTCGCTTGTGCCACCGGCCACAAGGTGTCCCCCAACAGTATGATTGTTCTTTCTGGATGGACAGCTTCACTAACGAACGTGACAGTTAACAAGACACGGCCAAAAGAAGCTACCCTGACCTACACACCCGGATCTTCGCCCCCCAACACATTCGGCACCATCGCCATTCTCGCATCTTCGGCCGCGCGAGGCACGCGCTAGTCGAGTGCTGCCCAAGCGCTAGTCGAGCAGTCTTGCTGCAGGAGGTCCAAGCCATCCAACTCTGATACCTGGGCGCTCGTCGAACACTAGCGCCGTCTCTCAGTTCGTACCCTCATGATCGGTCTGGGTCGTTTGAATGGCGTCAGGTCCAATGTTCGGTGCTTCGGAGGATCCAGCGCTTTTTTGATGGGCGAACGCTCCGCCCCTGCCCCTCCCATCGGTGGTGCAAGGGTGAATCGCGACCCTTTAAACAGGGTAAACAGTGAATCGGTAGGGCCTCAGAAGCAAAGGACGACTCGAAGTGCTTCTGGGCAATCTGTTTGGCCCTTTTAGCTGAAAGACACTCATTGCATGTCAAGCTGCATGGTGTTCATGTCGATCTGATCTCCGGTGCGGCCTGACCAAACGACCAAACCACAGGTCCTTTGATTTCCCTAGCCATCCCAGTGATTTGAATTTGATCATGCGGCTGTTGAGACATAGGGCGGAGAAAAAAAACTACTCACTTAACTTTGTCCATCCTCCAGATCGCCTTGAGGTGATAGAAGTCTCAGTACATGACTCGTAAGTGATGAAGTTCAAAAGCTACGAACTTGAATGATGTTACTTCCTTGCGATTGACGCAATCTACTCCACCAGTTCGCCTGAGAGGTTTGCGGCGATCTGCCGGTGCTTCTTCTTGGTCTCGTGCAGCCTGGGACCGGATTGGGGAAGCGACAGGTTGCTATAGAGCTCTGATCATTCAGATGTGGCGGATTTTCAGCCACCCAGGAGATCTGGTTCAGAACCTTCTGAGCATCCCAGCCGATCGTCATATCCGTAGACCTGGCCAATGAGGGTCTGCCAAGGGTTGCAAGGGAGGTCTTTTGCTTTGAGTGTTGGCAACTCTTTCTATCTGCAACTTGTCTTTCATTGAACAAAAAGCACGGCACGCAAACAAACCGCCCGCACCTTGCCCTCTAAGCCTCTGATCTTCTGACCATCGAAGGTATAGCTGGTCCTGAGATCCGATGGGGTCGGCCGTCCAGCCGAGTGAAGAACAGCCCCCGAGAGCCCACCGATACCCGGAGCCACCGGAGCCACTGGCCGGCACCAGAACGACTGGAACCACTGGCTGTCCGGCACCGGAGACAACCACTGGGGGCCAAGCAGTTCCTCCAAAAGCCTCAAATTGGTGACGGCACAGGCCGATGTGTAGTGAACATCGGAATTGCCTTAGAACATCCTAGAACACTATCCCTGGATCCACAGACCTTCTCAGGTACAGTGAGGACGGAGACTGTTTACGTAGGCGCCAGGGTCGGGTCCAGTCATACCGTACCTGAGAAGGTGGCAGTGGATCCATATATACATACTATTGCACAGTCCATGTCAAACGCGCCAGGATAGGAGATAGAGTTGTCAGGAAATTGCGAGCCCCAGTTGAAACTCCATGGAACAAGCGCTCTACAAGTGGGGCCCCTTTCAGAAAGCTCCATGTGTTTTCTTTCTTGTCTGATATTATCTGATGGTTTTCCATCGCTCTACTTCAACTTTTGTCTCCCTGGTCGAAGAAAAAAAGGCCAGGCCAACGGATTTGGATCTGGGTCCAGGTGTTCCGTTCGGCCTGGCTCGCTGGATCGTGTGGCTGTGCTTGGCTTGCCAAGCTTCCAAGCTGCCAGAGTCTGCTGGACCAAGCCGCTATCGGTGGCAGCCTGGCGTCGTGGTCTGCTTCCCTCCTCGCCTATAGGGATGAATCACCACCACCAGCACCACCAGCAGCAGCACTAGCACCACCAGCACCACCAGCAGCACCGGCACTAGCACCAGCACCTCCACCACCACCTGGATGTGGCCCAGCTTATTAGTCTTCTTCCCCTATGGATCCACATACCTTCTCAGAAGGTGATTGGAGACTATTTATGTAGGCGCCAGGGGGCCCAATTACCTTCTGAGAAGGTATGTGGATCCATAGGGTTCTGTCCTTTGCCAAGGAAGTCCACTTCTTGAGTCCTCAGCGGTCCGCCCTCCACCGTGCGCATACCCGGCTCGGCAATCCTACCTCGGCATACCGCAACTAGAGAGTGGTGACCTTCAACGTTAAAACAGGCGGCAAAGCTCCAATCATCGGTAGTAGGTTCCCAAACACGACTAGTGGGACTGCCATAGGACTGCCGATCAGGCCAGGGGTGGTTGAAAAGGGGTCAATGGGGCTGCAGTCCTATGCCAGTCCCATTAGTCGTGTCTGTGGAGGCCACCGTTTCTAGGTTAGAGGCGAATCGGCGAAGGTTGGAGGCCATGGACTCCAATGTACGCCCTGTGAGATTAAGATGGAACATCATGGAACCTGAAAGCCTCGTCATGGGTTGTAAAGGAACACGATCTTCCTTCCAGGTCCATGTTCTCATCTTCCCATCTTCCCAAAGATGACCAGTGTTTCGGAGATCTCCTCGGGAAGTCGGTGGACGAAACAGTAAAAATTGGTTCTTTAAAGAATAAGCATGGGACGGGAACGGTTACCTACATTGGGGTCATTGAAAATGCCCTAGGGCTCCTGTCCCATGTCCTCAGGTTCGGTGGTTAGACCCCCCTGGCACCCACCCCAGTCCCATCTTCGAAACGGAGGTGGGCTTGGAGCCCTAGGGATGAGGTAAATATATGTAACTATTCCAGTCCAATGAGCTGACCTCATCAACACCACGGTCTCCTTGATGTTGAGCACGCGGCCACTAGTCACTAGGTCGAGAGTCGAAGCAAGGGACGGACCGCCATATCAAGGGCGGCGGCTGTTCACTAAAGACACGTCTCCTTTCAAACATCCCTCGACAGGCCAGGAACAAAGCTCATGTTACTGGAGTTGGTCAGGAACAAAGCACTCTTACGGAGGTGTTCAGAACCTCATGGAAAACTGGAGGTCATGTGAAAGCACTACTCAGGGAGGTTTTCCGGACTATAGACTATACTAAATCAATCTGGACTTGTAGTTCCATCCCAAACCCGGTGGGATTCGCAGCTCCTATCAGCTCCTTCACTGAAGGTGGGAGCTTGGGCCCCCAACGGAGACTCGGCTCAAGATGAGCGCAGCATCCTCCTTCTTCTTGTCCTTGTAGACCTCCAGAAGGTTTAGAGGGTCAACAACTCTCAAAGCTAAGCACCCAACAAAAGAACGGATGCCTCAGCTTGCCACCAGCAGTTCCAAAGGATGGTTCTTAGAACCTATAAGAGTGGATCATGGGCACCTCGGATCATGGACACCGCACTGGCACTGCTTTTTGGTCCTTGCATCCCCCGAGATGTGTGAAACGGAGACTGAAGAGTCAGGGTCATTCAGTGTGGCCGTGAAAACGCCCCTCATCCGCTAGGTGACAAGTCCCTGACAGTCGCCCAGGAATAGCTGAGAAAGAGGGGCCTCCAAGAAAGCCACCTCTTCTAAAGAGAACCAAATGTCACACATTCAACTTCGACCTGGAAGGAGGTGACGAGACATTTACCTGCCAGGAGGTGCATGTTTGTCCAGGAACCGCAACAAACATATTCACCAAGAGGGGATTAAGCCATAAGGTAAAATACACATGATCTGACCATCTTCCCCACCCCACCCAAGCAGCACAAGACTCCGACTGTGACTTGGTGCACTGGAAACATGGTCCAACAAGCAGATGGATCCGTCCCCTGCCGTGTTTTAGGAGACCATCGAATTTCTTCCAGAATCCAAGCCTTTCCAATATATGCCTCAAAAGCGGAGCCCCCCAAGTTTGCGGCCTTTCGGGCCTCTGGAACAACACCCCGAGTCTTCCGCGAGGCAGCATCGGTGCAGCGCCTGCATCTGGCGCTCGAAGTGTTTCAGGTTCTCTTCGAAGTCCCTGTCCTTCTTATAGGCCACACTGAAGAGGACCTGAGTCAAACAATATTCCACCATGTATGCAGTAGATTGACAAGCTATTGCGGTATTGAATAGTATTGAAACGTCTTTGATTTTCCACCATCTTCTATCTACTCCAGGATGACTATATATATGCATTAGATTTCATATGATGATCAAGTTCTTCTCTCTGCTCAACCAGCTCCACCGGCTCGACCCGAGATGGGGCTCCCCGCCCAAGAGGCAAAGCAAGAGCCAACGGCAGCACCCTTCTCATCCTCGACCATCCGACTGATGACCTGCCCCCATGAATAAGCAAAAGCAATCGTGCCACATGTCGGGGCACTGAACATTTCGAGGTCCGTTGGGGCGAAGTTGGAGAAGTTGTTGGCTTGGCATCCGGATGGCCAAAGAGAGGGAGCATCCTACATATATTTAAATTATATAAATATATAGAAATCAGCGGCTGCAGGTTGATTTTTTTCCTGATCTTTGGCATGCCTCAACATGCACTTGATCACTTACGCGAGGCGACCGATGCAACAAACACCTGGAGTGGAACATCAAACAGGGCCCGGAGCTTGGTGCTTTGGGCATTCACTCGGGTGGTTTGAGCCCGGACGTTTCTTCAGTGAAACCCTGCGGCATGTTTTTGTCCAATGGGGTGGTTGAAAGGGATCAGTCCCCAAAAGGGATCCCAGGACCTTCTCAGGTTCGGTACGACTGGACCCTCCTGGCACCTACATAGCAGTGTCGAACACATCACTGCTGAGAAGGTGGTTGGATGCCTAGGGAGTGTTTTGCGTGTATCCCATTGGCAAAAACTGCATACCATCGAGTCAATGGGACAGCCCCTTTACCTCCAACGGACGAAGGCCTTCTTTGCACGGTTGCACATCTCTTTGGTCGTCCTGGTGATGAGCAGCAATTGTCATAGCCGTCGTAAGGAACAATATACTGGGACTGTGGAGGCAACTCATATCGATGAGCAGCAGTCTGCTTCTTTTTCCTGAATCCTCCGGCCATTTCTGTACTCCAGTAAGGCAATCAACCAAAGCAAATCTTCCTGATTTATGCATCCAAGTTTTATCTCAGGCAAAAAGTGCTCACCCAAACGACTTCACAGAAGTTATCTCAATCCCTCGGTCTTTATCAGTCTTGACAACTCTCTCCTGCCAATGGACAGCTGGACAGTCTTGATCTTATCCTCCGTCCAAGCCTCTGCCTAGCGCAAACACACGCTGAGGAAGAAAACTATGCTAGCCATGTCAAAAAGAGCCGAACACGCTCCAACATCTGCCAAAATACCTACGAAGCCCTGATTCAGATTCAGCTTCCCTAAAGAACGCAACATCAGTTCCACAATGACCCTTGTCCTGCTCCAAAGCCCTTGCTCACACTCATGAACAACTACAAATCATAGGGGTTGGTATTAAGTGGGTACCTTGGGGGGTGCGATTTTATAGTGCTAAAATGCTGGGACCAACCCCCCTCCAATGAGGGTCACTTTTTGGCCCTATAAAATTGAGGATAACATAGGAAAAGAGCCCAAGTACAAAGATTTAGCTCTATAGAATTGAGGGCCATTAGTCTGCCAAAAGCTGTTGAAAGTTGTGAATATTAAGGGTTTTTGTCTATAAAATTGCGGGCCCCAAGGTACTCCCGAACAGGTGTTGTCGAGTTGTAATCTGAACCTGGTTCTCTGTAGAGTCAAGGGCCATGGGTCTCAAAAAACATGTTTCTGTATAGAATCAAGGGCCATGGGTCTCAACAAAACATAAAAGTAAAATTTCATTAGAAGGTATTGATTTGCCAGTTGGTGGAACCACAAATCTATAGAGAAGACAACAGGTGTTATGGAGAGGATTGGAGAGGTAATGATCTGTGAGGATCTCTGATTTTATAGTGTCCAGATGTGTCCAAATGCTGTCCCCAAATCATCCACTTCTCCCCTTTCCCAAATTGAATGAAATTGAAATGTATTGCATTAGGATGCATTAAGATTTTTCAAATTGTTTCAATGTACTTCATATAAGGCGTTCCCTTGCTAGGATGCTCCTGATTTGCTAGCGTCATCATGCGTCATCCTGATTCATTCAAGAACCCATTCCCCAGGGTTCTTTTGAGCAATCCCAATTGGAATCAAGCCAAGAAAAAGCAATCTCTATAGAATTGCGGGTCATGACATCCAAAGTCATAGAAATCATTCTCTATAGAATCGGTATGCCCCAGTCATCCAAAATCCCTTCACTATACTTACAAGCCTCTATAGAATCAAGCTTGCAATTCTCTATAAAATCGAGGCTCTTGAAGGACAGGACTTTACAAGCTCCATATGAGCCAAGGAAATCTGGCTAAAAAAATTGTCTTTTTGGGGACCCAACCCCCGCGATTCTATAGAGGAAATTCCATCCCCTATTACAAATCCATCTTCAAAAACAAAGAAAACACTCAAACATCCATTGGCACGGAATGCTCGAGATTCCCGAATTCCTTCGCCCTCCTCGAGATTCCTTCTTGGGTCCCCACCTTTTGCCGGAAGGCTTGTTCGCGCCAGTCGTTCATCACGACACTCACCAATTCCTTCGCGGTGTGGTGTGGTGTGGTGAATTACAGGCCGCCGTGGTCGGTGAATTCGACCAGGCACATGATGGCCGGTCATGGTACCCGGACCCCGGCTGACCTCCCCTACTAGTCGTGCCTTTTCTCTCAGGCAAGGCAGCATGTTGTCAGATGTTGTCAGTTGCTTCCTTTCTTCGTCCTAGTCGATCTATATAGGACACATAGCAGCGCACAGCGAGCTAGAAAGGGAATGGGCAAGTGATCCGATTGATTTCGGCTAAGAGGACGCCTGCGGCTCCCTCTGAATTCAACTGTTTTGCATGCATGGGTGGGTTGTGTCGTTGCTAAAACTCCTCTCAACTGACGCTCAACTGACGCAGTGGTTAGCGCAAATCCCGGACAATAACATGCAAGGCTTTACTAATTAGCGCAATGCATGAACGACAGTCCTTGCATACCTGAAGATCCAGAATCTCAGGACGTTCAGCCATACTGTCAGGCAAAAACACACCCTGTTCGTCTCCACCTGAGTCCCCCTGCACAGTTATCTCGCTTGTGATTCTGCTGGAGCACCTTCCGGATATTGCTCAAATGCCTTGCCTGGCGCGACTTTGTGTCGGCGACTTCTGCCCGGTCACGTCGTTGGAGGTGGGCGCCGAACGACGAACCGGACGACACCTTTCGATTGTTGCAGACACTAAACACACATGGCATGCAATGATGCTGAACAAATCACCCACAACCATGATGCTGCAAACAGCGGAGCATCCAGTCCAATTGCTTCGGTACCCAAAAAACACAAAAAACTGAAAACGCTCGCGGTGAAGCAACTTCACAGCTCATTCGATGCCTTGAAGGACTCCAGCTCTTCTTCTGCCGCCTTGAACGTGGACACAGTTCCAGGGAGAGCACTGTGGTGGAAAGGCTCAGTGTCTGGCTTCCGGTGGTGGAAAAGGGAGCCCTTTGGACCTCTGCGCCCACGAAGAATGAGTGAAACATACCCAAACACTCCATGTGACTGGCATATTTTCCTGCATTGACCCCGTTTCAACCACCCCAATGTATGTAAACAGGCCGTACATGGAGTGTCTGGGATAGCAGGACCCCCACATCTTTTTGTCGGAAAAAGACTGAACATCTTCAAGTCCCCCAAAGTCCCGGAACTAGTCCAGGACTATCCCAACCAAACAAGAAGTACCTTCTCTACCAAGCAAGGTTCTTGGTCTCAACTGGGACGTTTTCGATGGTTGATGGATTTGACGACGATCGTAGACTATGTGACCAAATAAGATGTGACGATCGTGGTCGTGACGAGTGCAAGTGGTCGTTTCAGATGACGGTCATGATCCGATGGTGTCCCTCCTTTTGCTCCCCAGTCGTCGTCGACACATAGTATAGCTGCCGGTGATCCACGTCTACTTCCGACGGTGCTAGGGGAGGTTGATCACTTCGACGGAGGGAGAGGATGCGAGCGAGCGGGCGAAAACGCATGAATCAACGACACACCAGCACCCGACTCCACGAGAGTGGAGAGAGGGAGCGGATTGTAGTGCGTGCACTGCAGGGAGGTCGACCTGAATAGGTTACCTGACCAAGAGGATGCTAGTCACTCCAACGAAAGAAAGCAAGCACTCCAAGCAGGGTTATAGTTACTACACTCGGACTCACTAACATGGAAGCGGCAATGGAAAACAAGCTTCCTCTATGAATGAACAGGGACTGTTCCACTTCCATGTTAGTAGTCAGTTAGTACCGGCTATATTGACCCCTGAATTCTTGCTGAAACTGGCCCAAAAGCTAGTAGTGGAGCCGTCAGACTTAGAGTTCGAACGGCCTGTCGATGGAAAACCGGATGATGGAAAACCGCCTCCAACTCCCCACCCATGGATTTCATTCCACTCAGCTTAAGCTCCCTCAAAAGATTTCCGTAAAACTGAGCACCAATTGTCGTAGTTTCTACTGGTAGCTTCTTAAGTCAGTTCCCCTTGCTACGTCTTTCGTTGAAGAGTCTTGCGCCCGGAACCCGCCCCCGCCCGACGTCTCCGCCCGGAACCCGCCGGTTCCTGCGGCCCGGTCCCCTCCTGGAGCTCGTTGGAGTAGCGCGTGGTGAGATTCCGCTCCGCCTGGAGGCGCTGCCGAAGACTTTTGGAGCGGACGAACGCGGCCCCGTCTGGAACACCGACGTCAGAACGTGGCGCTGCAGCAGCAGTTCGAAATCAACGGACTTCACTGACTTCACCCATCAAAACGACCATCAATCATCCTAAGCCATTGTAAAAGCCAGAAACTGATGCAATCAAACCCCAGGGCCCCAGCACGTGCTGAGATGCTTTTCTGGAGCCTTTCTCAAAAAGAGGCAACTGCTGGACACAGCACTTGGCCGCCAAGTTTGGCAACTGGGTGCTGCTCTCGGACTGGCGAAAACCACCCAAAGGGAAGTGAATTGTGTAGACTCTGTATTTCTAAAAGCTCTCCATGTGGATTGAGAAACCTCTTCAGGATTGCGATTGAGATATGCCTAAAAGATGACCAAGCTGCCGTCCGATGCCCGATGCCGTCGTCCGTCGTCCGTCGTCCGATGGGCGCCGCGCGCGGGACCCACACGCGAGGGGGGAGTCGTCTGGACCGACAGCGGGGGGAAGTCGATGAAGGCGGGCCTTGCTCCGTTGCATCACGCACACCCAGCCAGCCCAAGCCTGAGCCATCAGAACGGCTGAGAATGCCCTGAGGATGCTGGATGGACGCCCGCTGGGATGCTGGGATGCTGGATGTGAGTGACACGGAGTCTACTTGTGGTTTGCTGGTTCAGGGCCCTTGTGTTTGGAGGGCACGGAGCATTGATAGTCAACCAGTGGTTTGGTGAATGCCTGCTGTACAGGATGGAGAGAAGAATCATGAGAGCTGCCAAATGGAGAGGAAAAGGTTGCATGTTCGTGGCCATTGGTTTTGAGCGTTGGAGCTGTCAATCACAGCATCCACCCTGCGTTCACGTCAATCGTCCGGTCGTTTCACGCCCCTTCCTCGCAGTACGCACTCAGAAACCCATCCTGAGGCTATATGGATCAAGTGACAAGTGACAAGGAATTTGAAGAGTCTCACCCGGTTTCACGTGTTCAGGATTCTTTTCATATTACAGTGGTTTCAGAGAGTAGATGGCACCCAGCCCAAGGGCCCCAAGATATCTTCTGAGCCTATATAAAGAATAGTGGATGAGGATTCCCATACCAGATCCCTTCCATCATGGTGCGAATATCATTGTGTGCGGAACATCGAGTCCTTAACGCATGGACCCAAACCATGAGCCACATGCTGTAATGGATCAAAATGGATGCTGAAATGGATCAACCCTTTGGATAGCTCTTCACCGACATAGGTCCCCAAAAGGCATCTTCAAGGACATTTATCCGACAAAACATACATGCGACTCAAATGACAATATGTGACAACATCTGCTAGCAAGTCGAAGGTGCCGTGGCGCCTGCTCCAACTCAAAAATGATCTATTTCAGTCGGAGAGCAGCGATCAGCATCACATGCCTGCTGTTCTCGATGAAATGATTCAGGGCCTCGGGAAAAGGACACTCCAGGTCAGCTAGGGTGTCCTTGAGGAACCGGGAAAGCATAAAAAGGATACCATAAAATATCCAGAAGGGGCCCCAGGTATCCAAGTACCTTCTCAGGTACGGTGATTGGGGTCCAGTCGTACCTTCTGAGGTTCGGGACGACTGGATCCCTTGCGAGGATCCACTCATGGAAGGTCCTAGTAATCCCCTTCAGCAAAAGCGGGTCCGACAGATTCTGGTGGCCGGAGTCCTGCTTTCGAGATCTGGACAGGTCAGACCAAGCAGTTCAGAGGGGTATTCTTAAGATCCCCACTTCAAATGGTTCTGGTTCATAATGCGCCCTGTCCATCTATCCATCTATCATTATCTATCTATCTGCCCATGTATAATATAATTACATCATCATCATCCTCATCACCATCATCATCACATAATTCGTCACATGATGCTCATGGCTTTCCACTGGAGTGGCAGAAAGTCTGCATTCCATCAACTCAGAGCAATAAGAAGACATGACCATATTGAAACATAGATTGCTAGCAGGCGGTTAGGGAACTCCTTGTAGCTCTGAGCGGCTTCCGGTCTAAAAACCAACTAGGTTGTTCATTTGCCAAACACCAATCCAGCTCCAGGCCATCAATTTAATGAACTTCATGATACTTCCAGTCTTTCAAGGCTTGTCAAGCACCAGGAGAACGCCCAAAACTCTTGTTTGGGTGATGAGGTGACACAAACGGAACATCCCACAAATCATCCCCATGTCGAAAAGTAGGTCATACATGATGACTTATAGTCCGCAGAAATGTCTAAGAATTACACTCCTTGAAAAGCCTTGAAATAATCCAAGTGGATGGCCGGCATAGCCACTGGAGGAACAAGGATCCGAACCAAAGCCGTTACACAAATGACAAAAGAGGTGGTTTTCCACTTGGATTATTTCAGGGAGATGTCTTCTGGCAGTCCCAGTCCCAGGTGCCACGCCACGCTCTTTTTGCCGAAGGCCAACAGACCGCCAGCCGAAACGCGTACGGCGGACTGCCCATGCGAACTCGTCGACCGCCTGAAGTGCCATCTGAAACAGCGACTCAGTCCGAAGAAAGGCGCGGCGGCCTCCGTTGAGAACGGTGCTCGCCGACGCCGGCTGAGGAGAAACTTTGCCGAAGATGGCGCAGGGCGGCAGCACACGGGAGGATTCTTGGCCGTCGATGAACCCACGCCGAGGTGGGCCGTATGAGCGGATATGAGCGTTCATCGGTTCGAGTCCTTTTCTGAACGCAGGTCCGGTCGTTCAGTCGCGAAGAGAGTTGAGCTGGACAAGAAGTACAGTAGCGTAGTTTTCGGAAATGATCATACTCAAGACTCAAGCTTTTTCGGTAACATGGGATCACTTCAGGGATCAAATGTCAAGTGCTTTTCCAGGTCCCACGACCTTCGCGCTTACTGCTCGACGAGGGCCTAAGGGCCGATTTCGCCCCGCCTGCCCTGCAAACGGCGGTTTCAGCCACATGCAGGCGACCCCCCCGTTTTTTCCACCGGTCATGACAAACGATCGACGGGTCATCCACCGGTTTGCCACCGGTTTGGGAGACGTAGAGACGTTTTTAGACGTATCGAGAGAGTCACAGGAACCATTCGGCGGAAGTCTGGTCATCGGGCAAGGCCAAATCGGAGAAGTCCGGCCGCGAATTCAGGAGCCGCCCAGGTCGGGGGCAGCGCAAGCGGTCCGCCCAGGCTTGGACTTCACCGCCTTCACCTGGGCTTGGACTCTTCCACCATGAATTCTCATGCAAGGCGTGCACTGGCCGGTCACCAACGGCTCATCATGAAAAAGCACAGCTTGGCGCAGGAATGGCCTGTGCAGGTCAGGGATGGCCTGGCGGCTCTGAGTGTGGTGTTGACGCAACCTCGATCACTCGATGGGTCCATGAAACAGGCCCTGATGTACCCAGACGCATTATTGAGGTGGTGGTGTAAAGTAGAGATCGCTCAGGGTCCAGGCATGCAATTGGATTGATTTCAGGGTGTTGGGCCCGGTTGGGCATATCAAAACCAGTCCGACTGGTCATGTCCGACTGGTCGTTCTTCATCTCGAGGGAGTTTCACACCCACATCGTGGGCCTCAGCATGCCGAAAATCACCTTCTCCCCTCACCGCTTTCCCCCAAACCCGAAAAACAAGTCTGGATGCTGAAACCGCTGCTTTGCAGTGTTTTCAGGGGTGCGCGCACAATCATAGCATACCCAAACAATCCCCGAAACGAAAACCATCAGCAATAGACCGTGTTACCGGTCTATTTATAGGATGGAATCGACTGCAGCAACAAAAATCGTCAAAAAATGGATGTCCCTCAGATCTTTCGCCAAAGCCGGGTCGGTTCTCCGATAGGTGATCCTCCCTGCCATGCAGGACCCACACTGCAGGTCGCGCCAGGCGCATTCGCTGCGCCAATTCGCCGTGCCCCAGGTTTTTGCCGGAAACTTCGCTGTGGGTCCCCACTACTTCGGGTCGCAGCCGCAAGAAGAGGACCATGAAAGAAAGATCCGCCAAATACCCGTATTGATCATTTGTGATTCCTGCTCCTGCAGCGATTGGAGCACCAAACCACTTGGAATTGGGCCGACCGAAGTGGGGACCACACCTATACTTTGCTTCGTGTGGTCATGTCGTTCAGGCGAGGAACTTTGACCCTCTGGCAGTTGAGTTTTGTCGGAAAAGCGGTGCTGAAGAACACTGGCCCTGAAACTGACCCAAAGGACAGGAGAAGTTTTCCAGCGGATAATTCATCTTCAGCTCAACATAGGTGGGGAAGTTAAACAACATGAACAATTCATTGGTTTGCGACCCTCATTCCTCAAGTTCTTGTTTGTATATATATATAATGATGTATGTATGTATTTATTTATTTATGTATGTATGTATGTATGGTGTTCATTTGTTGGCGATTTTCCGATCCACCCTTATGAGGTTGCTGCGATATATCAAGTTGGCATCAAACCAAAGTTTGCATTACACTCCCTGTAATCATCTTAGCAATCCGGAATTTCAATGCTCATCCGAAAACGCGGCCATGACAACCACTACCTGGACCCTCCAAAGTACACAAGAACACGGGACATGACCAAAACATGTACTTCCAAGGTACTTTGAGGCTCCGGGTATGTTCTTCGGTTGAACAAGAACCTATACCTCCACATGATGGCAAAACCCTTTCAGTTTTTGAAGGCTTCCCTTACAGCGTGGTGGCAGCGGACTGCCCCCGCTTCAGGTGACAGTGCCAAATGTTCTGTTGCCTTCTGAGGATCTCACTCTGGATGAGCATGTTGGCTACTCGCCTGCAAACTAACATTGAACCTGAGAATTGACCTGGTTTTGGGGTTCCATGTTAGTCTGCAGGGGAGTAGTAATTTCACAGTATTTTGATGTATTGACCCTGATATATGATGGTCCTTTTATTCTTGCATAATGAGAGTATGTGCAATCCGGGTCGCGGTTCACCGCGGCCACTCAGCCACTCAAGATCCTGACCGGCCACTCAGCCACTCAAGATCCTGAGTGGCTGAGTGGCTGACACGAAGAAAGCCTGAATGGCTGAGTGGCTGACAGAAAGAAAAGCCTGAGTAGTTGAGTGGCTGAGTGGCTGACAGGAAGAAATGTCTGAGTGGCTGAGTGGCTGAGAGGAAGACAAGCCTGAGTGGCTGAGTGGCTGACAGGAAGAAGAGGCTGAGTGGTTGAGTGGCTGAGTGGAAGAAAAGCCTGACTGGCTGACAGCAAGGAAAGCCTGAGTAGCTAAGTGGCTGGTGCCGAGTGGCTGGGTGGAGGAGGTGGTGGTAGTAGTAGTAGTAGTGGGAGTAGGAGTAGTAGGAGTAGGAGTAGGAGAGGAGAGCAGCAGCAGGAGCAGTAGTTCTATAATTAGGAGTAGGAGTGGAGTGCAAGTGGTAGTCGTAGTGGTAGTAATAGTAGCAGTGGCAGTAGCCACTGTAGGAAGAGGAGGTCCAAAGCTAGCCGAAGCGCACCGGAGGTTTTTGTTTCCGCGCAGCACTAGTTGAGCCTGTGTACCCATACGGAAAGCCAGGGCTTGAGCTGGATTTCCATGGCACTCAACCGGGTTTAGAGGTGCAAGGTATGATACTCAAAACAGAAATGATTGTGGAAATCCTCCGTTTCTGAAACGGACCCTGCTGCTGTTCCACTACCATTCGCAGTGGGCGCAGAATCAGTCGGCAAGTGAGCTGCAGCACACGAATGATGGTGACGCGCACGCTAACAGCACTGGGCTGATTGCTCCTTGGAGCACGGGGCCTATTGTTCTTGGGATGTAAAGTAACAGTTGTCAGCAGCTCTTTCGCGCAATGAGGATCGGCAAGGCTTTAGCTGCAAAGCACAAGCGCAAACATAGAGCTACGGAGACCTCGCGGGGAAGTCGCATGTGCAGTGCCTGGAACATCCCTACATCCTAACATCCACCTGGACATCTTAGCAGACGCTCGCATACTTGAGCACGAACATATAAGGAATAGAGTGTCTTGACGAAACAGCTGGTTTATTGTTATTATTGCAAATCTGGGGGTTAAATTTACCCCCCGCTTTTGTATGCATTCGGTCGGAAATAGGGGTATATAAGCATTTCTGGCATCACAAGGGCTGTAAACGCACCAGGCCCTCCGTAGTGCAGGAAAAGTCTTCGAAAAATGTATAATAAGGAACAGAGTGTCTTGACGAAATAGCTGGTTTATTGTTATAGCGAATCTGGTTGGTAAATTTACCCCTCGAAATAGGGGTAATAAACATTTCTGGCATCACAAGGACTGTAAATGCACTAGGGCGTCCGTAGGGCAGGATATGTCTTCGAGAAAGGCAAAAGGAATAGAGCGTCTTGATGAAATAGCTGGTTTATTGTTATGGCAAATCTGGAGGGTAAAATTTACCTCTCGCTTTTGTACGCATTGGGACAAAAATAAGGGTAAACATTTGTGTATACAATACTGTTAGAGAAAGAGGGTGCTTTAGCCAAAGGAGACAGACTTCAGTTTTTGCGTCGGCTTTGACTCCAATAGAACAGCTGTCCAATTCTACAAGTACGGATCAGCTACTACCAATACTACTTCTACTACGACGACTACTCTACACCAGCCACTCAACTACTCAGCCAAGCATTTCTTCCTGTCAGCCACTCAGGCTTTTCTCCCTGTCAGCCACTCAAACTTTTCTTCATGTCAGCCACTCAGCCACTCAGGTTTTTGTCCTGTCAGCCACTCACCCACTCAGACATTTCTTCCTGTCAACCACTCAGCCACTCAGGCTTTTCTTCCTGTCAGCCACTCAGGTTTTTGTCCTGTCAGCCACTCACCCACTCAGACATTTCTTCCTGTCAACCACTCAGCCACTCAGGCTTTTCTTCCTGTCAGCCACTCAGCCACTCAGGCTTTCTTCGTGTCAGCCACTCAGCCACTCAGGATCTTGAGTGGCTGAGTGGCTGGCAGGAAGAAAATCCGCATTTCCACGCACAATCCGATCTTTTGCAGAGATTGGTCATCAAACTGATTTCGATTTACAAGTTCTTAATAAACAACATATGAAACTCAAACATGTATACATGTCAGTCAATAAAATATATGCATGCATATACATTCACAAACACATGTTCTTCAATTAATCGTCGGTCATGACGCCCCAATTGAGTAGTTGGAAGCACTGTCCGATCGCGCCGGGGTCTGGCTCCGCCGGGGGATCGCTGGAACAAGGTTCCACTTCTTCCACTCCCTAGGGCTCCTCTCCCATATCCTCAAATTCGGTGGTTAGACCCCCCTGGCACCCACCCAAAACCCATCTTCTCAGGAGGTGGGCCAGGTTTTGTAGGTGTTTTGGTCCACGGTGGGAACTCGGGAGGGGTTCACCCCGTGGAACTCGGCTCCAGGTGAAAAAAACAGGGCTGGTGGTTTTCAACTCACTTGACACATATCTCCGAAACCACCTACCCATCCACCTCCTCCTCCCCACCCTAGTCCAACACAACACAGAGGGGAGCGGGGAGCGAATGGGAGGCCGCGATAGATCGGATCATGTGGGAGCCCCCCTCTCCCTAAAGCTTTAGTGGTCGAAGGTCAGACCTGGGGGCCCGGGAAGAGGGTCCGGTGATGTCCCCATTTGGAGGAGGTACGACTGGAGGCCAAACGAGTTTCTCTTTTTGTGAGAGCAAACCACGCCCAAGGGTCAACCTGCTCGCTCGCCCGACCACGCCGGGGCCATGATGAT